GTCTTCCAGGGCCAGAAATCACCCTGGCAGTTCAATGAGGGTCCCTCTCAGCCCTCTCCTATGCTACTAGCCCTGCCTGTGCAGGTTGAAGAGCACTCTGGGTCCAAAGACAAAATAAATGAATTGGGAGGCTCCAACATCTGTGGTCTGGCATTGCTTGGAGAGCTCCATGTGTCTTGGCACCAACCTTGCCCTGGGTCTAGGAGGTTCTTAGCACAGAAACCCCAGGTCCAAAGGCCATGTTCTGCTCCCGGCTCTTCTTTCTTGGTGGTACTGAGGTCCCCCCTTTTCCCTCACTTCTCTCTCCTGTAAGATTAAAGGTGACGCAGGCCACACCCCAGGGAAACTCCTCTTACATGGGATCAGGGCTGTGACCTGAGTAAGGGTGTTGCATCCGACCTTTATTCCGTTACAGCATATTGGCTGATATATCAGATCACATCACAGGGGATGATTGCATCATTACATAACCTACCAAATGACATCACTGCATAACTGCCAACCACTGAAAGTCAGGGCCCAGCCAAGCTGACACACTGTGAAAGGAACACATTTCAATCCATGACAGTGACCAATGACCTCCAGGCCATTCAATCTGATGGAACTTTCCATCCTCCATCGTACCTGGCTGCTCATGACACTGGACAGTGCAACTCTCCCTAAAACCCCTGCCCCCATCCCCAGATCCTGTGACCTTGTGGTTTCCCTCCAGCCTTCCTGTCCCGTCTCCTTTGTCGGCTCACCCCCTGTGACCTGGCCGGGATGTGGTGTACTTCCTCAAGGCTTAACCCTAGATCCTCTTCTGTCCTCACCCTTTGCTCCTCCTTGGGCAGATCTTCCCTGGACCCACGGCCTCCACATCGTCTACTCAGAGACTCCTGAAGTGGTAACTCCAGCCCTGTGCTTCCATTAGCATCCTCGACATTTCCGTTTGAAGGTTTCAAAAGCATCTTAAATTTAATCTGTGATCTTCTCCCTTGTCAGGTTCTCTGCCAGACCCCACCCTCTGTGGGTGAACCACATCTTCTATGCAGGGGCTCAAGCCAGAAACCTCTCCAGCAGCTCTCTTCCCTCCCCATCCGGCCCATCATCACAGCCATCCTGTCCTCTTGCCCACCGTCCATGGCCAGCACAAGCCCCAGGCTGCCCTGACAGCCTGCACTGTGAACTCTCAACAGGGCTCTTGTGTTGCTGTTACTTTTATTGTGGTGAAAACATACACAAGACATTTGCCAACGTAACAACTTCCCCATTTACAGCTCAGGGACACTGATGACATTTTTCATGTTGTGCCACCATTACTGCTGTCCCTTTCCAAAATACTCCACCACCATTTCCATAAACTCAATGCCCCGCAAACAAAAGCTTCCCCTTTCCTCCTCCCTCCTACCCCTGGTAACCACCAATAATCTTTGATTTCTGCATATGTATGTATATGTATATATGTATTTTTTCAACCTATCTAGGAATTTAGGCTCCTCAATTTTTAACATCATTAGAACTTGGCAGGAGTTCCCCTCTGTCGGGAATCACACTCATCTTTGAACTCCCAGCTGGAGTCGGACCCTCTGTGTTTGTTATTTAAGCCTGGACCCCAGCATGTGCTCAGTGCTTCATCACCCCTGAAACACAGCTTCAGGCTCTCCCCCGTCTCTGGCTAGAATGATCCTTACACCCCAGGCAGGATGGCGATGACGGCCAGGTGAATGAGAGGAGCCCCTCTGGGCTGAGAACTCAGCGCCAGTATGCCCAGGTTCAAGGCCCCGTTCCCGCTCAGCTCTGCTGCCGGGGGCAGGGTGACAGGTCCCACTCTGGATTGTCACCGCAACAGACATTTGGGAGTGAGGCCCTCTAACCACAGAGGGCCACCACACCCCAAGAGTGACACTAGAAGAAAAGGCTCTGCAGATACCAAAACAAACAACCTGCAACAGCTCTGTATGGTTATGGGGACCTCTTCTTCCCAGATGGGGTGCCTGGCAGTCAGGACCCCTCACCTTCTCATTGAACGCTAAGAGCAAGCGGATGGCACTAACAGCTGCTGATCTCGGGTGAAGACGGAAGTAAAGGGGCTGGAGTCAGGCTTCCCTCTGACCTCACTGGCCCAGGGTGGCAGCTGGGAGGGGGCAGGGCACACGAGTGCCCACTGTCCGGGAATGCTCTCCGATCAGTTTCTCAGGGAGCTCTCTGCCTGGACAAGCCCACTTGAAGGCAGGGGCTGGGCTGGTAGTCCTTCAGGGGCCCCCAGCACCTGATTGCCATTGCTTGGCAAGAAAAGGGACAGTATCTGCTCTAGGGACAAGTTCTCCCATTGAGGTGCCTGGAGTTGGTCAGGAGGGTGTGGCTACTTGAGGCTTGTCAGGGAAAGAAGGGATGTCACCCACCGTTACAGCGGCTGGCTCACCAAGGGGGCCCAGGCAAGTTCACATTTGAACTGTAGCATGTCTGCTGAGGCTGCCCCTAGGCCTTAGCTGACTTGCGCCCCACGCCCCAGGCCCACCCAGACGGACACTCACCAGCAGATGAGCCCGGCCACCACAGCCGTCCAGGTGACGCGGCAGGAGCTGCGCTGCTTGCTCTGTGTCCCATCGTCTCTCCGGCAGCAGCACAAGCAGACCAGGTAAACCGCAAGGAAGATGAGGTTCAGTGCCAGGCCCACGGCGGCCACCAGCCCCAGGAACAGCAGCGACTGAGAGGAGAGAGGCCTGGTGTCAGCACCCCGATCCAGCAGGGGCGATGCTGGAAGCACCTGTGCATGGTGGCCCAGAAGTACCCTACCAGGGGGTGTGGGAATAGGAACAGCTGTATGTCTGTTACCACCTGTAATGGACTGAATTGTTGTTGTTGTTGTTGTTGTTATGTGCTGTTGAGTCGGACCTGACTCATAGCAACCCCTCCTTGGGTTTCTGAGGCGGTATCTCTATAGCTGTAGATTGCCCAACCTTCCTTCCGAGGAGTGGCTGGTGGGTTTGAACCCTCAAACTTCTAGTTAGCAGTCAAGTGCCTTAGGCATTACACTACCAGAGCTCACTCAATGGACTGAATTATGCCTTCCAAAATACGTTAAAATCCTAACCCCTATACCTGCAGATAAGGAGCTCTGGTGGCGTAGTGTCTAAGGCGTCTGACTGCTAACCAGAAGTTAGCAGTTCAAACCCACCAGCCACTCCACAGAAAGAAGACTGGGTAATCTACTTTTGTAAAGATTTACTGCCTTGGAAACCCAAAGGGGGTTGCTATGAGTCAGAATTGACTCGATGGCAGTGAGTTTGGTCTGGTTTTCACTGGTGGATAAGGTGCCCTGATGGAGCAGTGCTTAATCACTCAGCTGCCAAGTGCAAGGTCTGTGGTTCAAACTCTCCCACAGGCTCTTCAGGAGAAAAACTTGGTGACCTGCTTCCATAGAGATTACAGCCTAGAAGACCCTGAGGCAGTTCTACTCTGTCCGACAGGGTTGCCATGAGTTGCAATCACGTTCATACTAAACCCATTGCTTTGAGTTGATTCCAACTCATTGCAACCTCATAGGACATAGTAGTACAGCCCATAGGGTTTCCAAGCCTGTAATCTTTCCTGAAGATTGCCACATCTTTCTCCAGTGGAGCAGCTGGTGGGTTCGAACCACTTACCTTTTAGTTAGCAGCGAGAACTTTGAAGTACTGAGACATCAAGGCTCCTAACAGCAACACATCTGTGGATATGATCCTATCTGGAAATTGGGCTTTCATTCTACTAATGAGGTATCGTCAGTGTAGGGTGTGTCCCAAGCCTGATCCTGCACACCTACAGGCAGTAGCAGACATAGGAACAGGCACAAACCAGGGTGGTGGGGAGATGCCATGTGAAGATATGAAGATTGGAGACAAGGAACCATAAACGCCGAGACAAGGATCTAACCCCACTCCACCCCCTGGCAGAGAGAGAGCCTTCCCCTGGAACCAGCGCCCTGAACTCGGACTTGGAGCCTTCTGAACCGAGAGAGAGTCCGTGTTTGTTCTCTCAAGCCATCCACTTGTGGTATTTCGGTGACATTTGACCTAGATAATAACCAAGATACCATCCCGCCTTCTCTCCGTCCTTCCCGTCTTCTGTGATTCGAGCTCCCACTCTGTAAACAAGTGTCCCACACTTGGGTACTGGGTGGGCACGGGGATGGGCTTAGACTAGAGCATAAGGACTTGTGGCTGGCCTTGGCAACGAGCTGAGTGGGATGTGGGGCAAGGAGCTGTGAACTGCTGGCCCCAGGTTTCTGGCCCCACACCTGGATGCAGGTATAGGCCTAGGCCCCGTTGGACGAACAGCTCAGAGCAGCCCACGGAACAAGGCAGGAACCACCAGGTGACAGTGAGGACGTGGGTGAGGAACTGCTTCCAGGGGAAGACAGAAGCACCCCAGGGAAGACCTTCGAGGAGAGGGACATCCCGAGATCTCCTGAGGAAGATGGGCTGAGCAGGATGCCTGGGACTTTGTGTGGGACCTGCAACAGGGCCTCGAGTAGCCACCTTCGTGCAAATCAAAACCAGGTGCTATCAAGTTGACCCCAACTCATGGCAACCCATGAGTAGAACTAGGCTCCATATGGTTTTCAATGGCTGATTTAAAGGACGCAGACTGCTAGGCCTATCTTCTGAGGCCAACCTTTTGGGTAGCAGCCAAGGGCGTTACCTGTGCAAAGGGTCTCATTATCCCGGGTCATCATTCTATGCCCAGAATGCCCAGAGTCTTGTTCTAGGTGGTGGGTATCCATCAGGATGTGCCCGGAGAGTGACAGGGACAGCTGAGCCCCAGGTGCCAAGGGGCAGCCAGCCCAGAATTTCAAGGGCCATGAGGTGTCCGTGGCCTGTGCCCTGGGGAACAGCCCCTTTCGCAGGTCACCTAGCCTCTCTGGGAGCCACTGTCGACGTAGCAGGAAGCCCAGTGTCCCCTCCCCCTTGCTCTCTAATCTCTTGATTCAGCCAGATGGACACCAGTTGGCATCAGATTTGGTGGCCGACAATGAGGGCTGGACCTGGCTCTAAACCAGGTTCCTGAGCTGACAGCCGACAGCCTTTACCCATTCCTCGTGACCCTCGCCACCCAAGTGGCTGAGGGCCAAGGCCCCCAGGGCTCCACTCTGGGCTGTCAGGAGGGGAGCCTGCTTTGGGGTCCCCTTTGACAGGTGGTGGCAATTGACTGAGGAAAGGAAGCTCTGGGACCCTTCCAGTCGAGGGGAGACAATATTGTGCAGGAGTCCACACTCACACACACATGCAAACACGACCCACACACGCAAACACGGCACACACAGAGCTCTGAAGAACAGGTGGGGGTGGGAGCTGCAGTACCAAGGCCCCAGGGCCGTTTTCTGGGAGCAGCGCAGGGTGGTGAGGGCACCCACTGGAATCACCCTCCCCTGTGACTGCTCGAGCAGACCCCTGAAGTGACCGCTCTACTGCTTCCCCCCACCTGGTTTGGGGATGGTCACCCTGGACCCATGGGCTTCTGAGTCTCAGGGATTGTGGGCAGCCCAGGAGAGGGCAGAGCGAAGGCTCATGGCGTGGGCAGAGGAATCTGACTCCAAACTTAGCTTTCACCTCCAGCTGGGTAAGTGTGTCACAGGTGTTGCTGGGAGCATGCCTCCCCACCCCAACTCAGCCTCCAAGCAGCTGGGAAGACAGGGCCAGGGGAGCTGAGCCTTCACCTGCTGACGTCCTCACACTGTGGCAGAGGGGCTGAGATGTATTCCCTCCATCCTGGACAGTGGTCAGCATAGCTTGTTGGGGACAGACCCCAGGAGTTCCCTGCCCTAGTGAGACAACGGGATCTATGTGCTTGCCTTCCAGCCCCCAGCCCCTCCCTGGAGGACCCCCGCAGCCCCCGGCCAAGCAAAGGAGGCCAAGATGGATTAGGGATGGGGGGATGGGGGGCGGGACGGATGAACAGACTGCAGTCTCTCTATTCAAAGTGAAAGGAAGGGAGCCCTGTTGGAGCACTGGTTAAGCACTTGGCTACTAACTGAAGGTCAGGCAGGTAGTCCTGACACCACGGAAGAAATGCCCTGGCAGTCTGCTTCTGTAAAGATCGGGAAAAAAAAAAAAAAACCCACTGCCATCGAGCCGATTCCAGCTCATAGCGACCTCCACTGGTTTCCAAGGCTGTAAATCTTTACGGAAGTAGATTTCCTCATCTTCCTCCCACGAAGCAGCTGGTGGGTTTGAACCGCTGACTTAGGAAACCCTGTGGGGCAGTTCTCCTGTTACACGGGGTCGCCGTGAGTCGGAATCCACCAGACAGCACGCACACAATTCAGTTCAGCGTGTTAGACACAGGGACTCTCAAGGCCCACTGCAGGCCGGGACAATCAGAACTGCACTGTGGACGGGTCCCCGGGAGTCAGAGCCTCTGGGCAGGGCATGTGGTTAAAGTGCTCCGCTGCTAACCCAAAGGTTGGGGGTTGGAGTTCACCTGCAGGTGGCTCAGAACGAAGGCCTGGCAACAGACTTCTGACAAAGCAGCCACTGGAAACGCCAGGGAGTGCAGCTGTCCTCTGACACGTGGGGTCACCATGGGTCAGGGTCGGCTGGGCAGCAGGCGCAAAGTCTGGGAAGCACTGCGTTAGTGTCAACAGGGGCTCAAACTTTTTCTGGAAACTTAACATTTTCTTCAAACAGAATTGCTTGTTGTTGTTGTTGTTGTTAAGTGCCGTCGAGTCGTTTCCGACTCATAGCGACCCCAT